GCAGATTTTAACGCAAATGTATCAATAAAAGTTTGAAGAAAATATTAACTGAGTCATGAGTCATGTTTTTTCGCGGTCCCGTGAAAAAAAACGTGAGACGTGACTGTGGTGAGTGTAGCACACAGAGGTACAGCTGCTGAGAATTACTTTCAGTAGACAAAGCAAAATAGGTCTCTGGTCAGTAACTGGTTTGGAAAGTGTTAAAAGTACGCAGAAGCACAGTAGGTCAGTCAAGTGAATGTGATCTTATGAGTGAGAGTATTTGTAGTCGGGGGTTTGTGGACATTGACTAGCATTAAGCAAAGTAAACTAGTTCTCTTTATAGTAAATGGTTTCAACCCTGTCATGAGTAAGCCAGTTGAATATCATCGTATGGTTGAGCCTTGGTCCTCAGATGTAATTTTAGTGAGAATGATTGACGTTTGACAAAGCAAACCACGTGTCTGTACAGTATCTGGTTTGAAACACCCAAACATATTTCAGGCAAATGTGATCGTCTTGGTGAGGGTAATCCTCAGTGCTGCTATTGGCGACAATAACTTGCGTTTGGCAAAGTACGCTAGTTAGTTCCTTGAATAGTAGATGGTTCCCGCCAAATAATAGCATAAAAGTCACCACTGATGAAAGTATTTAAATGGCCTTCCTAGCGCAGTCTATTGCCAGTTGGAATGTGGCTGAACAGTGACGTCACCTCAACATGAGACTGTACTTGTAAGGTACTTGTATGGTAGTAACTACTACCTCTACTTCCGGTCAAGGCCTAAAAGACGACGGGGAGGAAACTGACCCCATAAGGCTATATTTTCAGAGCAGTATCTCTCAGCAGTGTGCTTATGTATGTAGTAGAAGCACATCCTCTTTAAGCCCTCCCATGTGCATGCACCCATGTTATCGGCTGTTGCGCTGCAGAGCTGTCATCACGAAAAACATGTCCAGAAAGAGCAATTCTTCTTTTTTTAATGGTAGAGGTCACCTTTTCAAAACTACCCTAAAGGTCACCACTGATCTTCTCCAAGTCACTCTTCCAGATGTTCTTCATTTTGTTCAGTGATTGCTAGGCCAGTGCTTCACAAACATTTATGTCTCTTTCCTTAGAACACAAAGTCAATTCCAGCCACCCATGTATTTGAAATCTTGCTCCCTTGACTCTTCCACGATTCCACGATTGTCTCCATTTCCTTTCTTTCCAAGTTCAAATACACAGCTTTGGTCTTTTTTGCATTCAGTGACAGCCAAACCTAACCACATTCTACCTCCACATTGCGCAAAAACTGCCTAGCTTGCCTAATTTCATCAGACAGAAGAACAATGTCATCAGCGAACTCAAGGTCAGTTAACAGATTGCTGAAATCCTATGACCCCGTAGCCTCCCACGTTCTTAGGGGTTCGTCACGCGTGACGAACCCCTAAGAACGTCCGCGTGGGAGGCTATCTCCTCCGAAGAGTAAAACCAAGCTCCTCCTCTTTTCCTTGTGTGGCTTGCCTCATTGCATAATCGAGCACAATCGAGCTCAATGACAAATAGATATGGTGCCAAATTGTCCCCCTGCATGATTCCAAAAACTATTTGAAAATAGTCTGTATCACCGCCAGGGGATACAACCTTTGCTTTGATGTTGCTTTACATTAGCACGATTGTATTGATAATTCTCTCCGGGATGTCATAAGCAGAAAGGATCTTTGGACATCTCTTGATGGTTAATGGAGTCGAATGCCTTAGTAAACTCAATAAATTCCATAATCGATGGTAGATGGTAGTGTTTTACTCCTTCGAGGATTCGTCTCAGTGCTAGCGCCTGCGTAATGGTAGATCTACCCGGGCGAAAGCCATTCTGATTGTACAGTATCGCAGACATGGATCTATTATTGGGCGTATGCAATTTAGTAACATTCTGTTATTCAGCCTGGCGACTACCAATGTTAAGCTGATACCTCTGTAGTTTCCAGTGTCCCTTAACTTGCAATATTTGGAAATTGATTTTAAGTTGAGGACGGCGAATTGGTATTATCAGCAGTTTGTTGGCAAAAAGAATAATGTCGTCGATCTTGGGCATTATGCCATCATCTCTAGATGCTTTACCTTCGCTTATCTGCTTCTTGGCATTTTGTAATTCCTCCATGGTGAATTCAGTCTCATATTATTTCAATGTTATGCAGAACAGGGTGAACGTCATTCAGCATTGTGTCTTCAGCGGGGGTTCCCAACAAGTTCTTGAAATGCTCATACCACTGCTTTTTCCTTTCTTCAGGGGTTTCCCCCACAATTTTCCAGACGCTGCTGCTTTACGATTGATTATTGTATTAACTATTTTCCAAGCCTTGCTGAGGTCAACTGCTTTGAATTCACTCTCACCTTCCCCAATATGATACTTAATAGGTTGCTACTCACGTTCCTTGTATACTGCTTGTAAATCACTTTTGGCTTCTCTTCTTGCGACTGCTTCCGGGCTCCTTTCGTCTTGTGGATATTGAATTCTCCTGTTAGTCTTTCGTTTCTCTTTTGTGGGTCGACTATTCTTGCATTGTTCGAGTGTCTATCCTCTTTTCCTTTCCTAACAAGTGGGGGTGTTGCTGCGGCATCTTTTCTTGCCTCTACTAATGTGTTGTATTGGTCAGCTGATCGTTGTGACAGCGTCAACGAAGTTCTAAGCACACTGTAGTTTCTTTATACTTCGGCAGAGTGAAAATATTGGAACATTTAACAAAGTTATTGTTGCAATAGATAATCAGAAACCCACAGTGAAAACAAGACCATGAACTGCGTCGGTGACGTTGAATGTCGATTGCTTCCGTTAATTTTCCGTCATACATTTTAAGAATAGTAATTTGGCTGTCACATTCGAGTTGCATGACGAGCCTTGGTTCATTCGTTCAAAGTCTTCGTAATATGAACTTATACTGCACCTTGTCTGCCCCCTTCCGTTCATCAAATGTCATGTATTGCGTGTAACACATATGTTGAAGAGCTGTAGGATGGTTTTCGTATGCAGGTGGAATAGAATCGTCCGGATGAGTGTAGTGTTGAATAGGACTTGCTGACAGAGACTAACGTTTCGACAACCTTAGCGGTACTCATCTTGAGAGTCAAATAATACTTTTAGGAGTTAACGCTCCTTAAGCATAAGGAATCGTTGCTTTAGTGACAGGTCCAGGGTCCGAGTGTTTCGTGTAACAAATTCTGCGTATGATTCCTTTCACAGAAAATGTCGTCTACGTACTAATAACCTGTAGAGTGTGTCTTCTCAAAGTCTGGTTCCTCTGTGAACGACGTTCAAGTGGTTAGCCATAGGATGTGTTTGCGTTATATACATCGTTGTTTTCATCTATACATATAGTCCGCTGTTGTTGTTACGGGAAACTGATCAGTCTGGAGAAGGCATTTTATCACTTTCCTGCACTATTTTCTTCTTTTTGTCGGTTAAGGTTATTGTAGGAGTCCTCGATCTCCTCTTTGTGTACAATGCGATTGAAGTGTTGTCACCGCAAAATAATCATTTGTCAGATGCAAGGTGGCCCTACGTTCCTCTAAAACTGAACAGAAACTGTGAAGCCAGTTGCTGAAAATTGCAATTGTAAGGAGTCTATGCTTCCCGTAAAGGACGCGAAGAAGGACCGCGGTAGAGTAGATTCATAACGTCGTGCGTATACAGATGGTTGAGTTCGTTAACAAATAACATCAGCACATACTAGGGCTATGCAAGCGAGTAGGTGAACAGCGACTTCACAATAAAAGACACTCGTTAGTAGTAGTTATCAAAAGATTCCTTCACAGTTCTCACTGGCATAATGTCATCCGTAGGTACTGATAGCATTACAATAGTGTTCGTAAAGGAGTTCTCGGTGCAGTCTAAGCCCAGTTGAAGTGGAAAGTGGGTAAACGGTTGTTTCACATAAACAGACTGTGTGTCTGCATCTTCTTAATAGATCCAGTTTTCAGTATATGGACGGTGTTTATACAGAAAAGTGAAAAGGTTTAGCAAGTACATCAAGTGGGTCGCACTAGTATGTTTTCACTGAAAGAACTTGGCATACAACCTCAATGGTTGCGGTACACCTTAACTTTTCTTGGAAGTCTCATTTTGTAACTCCTTACTGTTTAAAGGTGGGTTCAGTTGAGTTAGGGTACGACTGGTGTCGTAACAGATCCAGAATCAAACGTTGAGATCGGCAATCCCAGTGTAACCTTTTCGAGTAACAAATGACTTCATCGAACTAAACTTTGCCTAAGTACTTCGTTTCGTAATGACGTAGCAGATTTGTCACAAACTAACTGCACTCGTCTTGTCAAAGTAGTCCTGAAGTGGAATGCGCTGTTGCACTGTGAACAGAGTCATCTTTCGGTATGTGTTCCTGTACTACGTTGCTAAGGTTTCTGTGAAAATTGTGGTGTCTATGTGAATACAGCTGTGGTGAAAGTGTTTGTCAAAGTAGCGAGCCAAGAGCCGGTAGGTATATTGAATTGTAATGTCAGGTCTTTTGGCGGTTGTTTTGGTAAATCAGGGCGCGATGTTATTATTCATCTGTCAATTTACCCGTGGCGTTATTGAATGTTTCAAGTGTAAACTTAAATGTTTTTTGCCTACACCATCATACCTTTTGTACCTTGTCATTCAAACTTGTCAGTTTTGTTCAGTGAATTGATTTTTCAGAGCCCTAAATAGTTATTTCAAATTTAACTTTGTGTTATAACTGACGATAACAGTAACTGGCCAGTTGAATCGTAAAATCATATTTTCGGAAGTTTAACGTGCTTCGCTATTTCTCAAATTTTTCTCTTGCCTGCCACTATCAAAATTTTTAGAAAAATTAAATCTACTTTCGCTACCTTTTGTCCTAGTGAAAGAATGCTTGATATACGTCCTTCCCTTCATCCCTGTTACTCGATCCTTGATTCCACGACTCCATGATTCTATGAATCCCTGAATTCCTCATTCCCTGATTCCTTGAGTCCCTGATTTCATGATTCCATGATTCCATGATTCTATGAATCCCTGAATTCCTCAGTCCCTAATTCCTTGTGTCCCTGATTCCATGATTCTATGATTCCATGATTCCTTAATTCCACAGTCTGGTAGAAAGAAAAGGAAAAGCAAGAGTTAATGACAGCAGGTTCCAGGTTTGTTTAACTTAACTAAACAGAACAGAAGCTTTCAGCAAAAGCTTGTATATATGTAACGTATCGGATCCAATGACTTTCTTTGTTAGCTTTCATCAAATCCTCCCATGTTCTCAAAATAAAAAGGAATACCCAAAGGCTAATTCATAGTATACATAAACAGATCAAACAGTGAATAAAACATTCGCCAAATTTTTCTAATTTAAACCCGTAAAGTGACCATCACCAATTTTCTCTAAAGGATAATATTAATAACTACTGGTGATAAAGAAAAAAGGTTCTGAGAATTTATCACATGATCGCCAAACAGGAAAAGCTTTGATCTTTTATCACCTCTCTTAATCAATTCTTATGAGAAATATATGGAGATCAGTATGTACAATTTGCATGTTGGGGTTAAAATGGCAAAGAATGGGATAGGAGGAATACAATTCCCCCAAATAATTTATTACGCCAATCTGATCGAAGCACTGACATAGAATAACATTTTTAAGACACAAATGACTATTTTCAAAACATAAAAAATTCTGATACTAACCTGATTTAAGAGACATCTACTTTATGTGTCCGATGCTTTCCCACTCCAATCATGAAGGAACCATTGCTCATCTGTTATGGTTAGGGAGAAAATGTGACAGTTAACAAATGTCTAATCAAACACATCGGGAAGGGTTAATATAATAATAATAACTTTATTTCTATAGCGCTCTTATCCTATGTTCAAGGCGCTTTACAGACATGTAAACAACATTATTGAAAAATATTTACAAATTTACAACCATATCTTATTATACTTACAATGAGTAAACAATGAGATCAAAACACAAGTGAAAGAGAGTGATTAAGTTGAAATGAAATGAAATGTTGAGGATGAGAGGACAACAGATGCAATCTCTTTACAATATATATTTACATATGAGAAGTCTGCTGCCTGTTTCCAATCCTTGCACAAGAACTTTACCACTCTACATGTAGCAAGCTTGCAGGAAACATTTCTTCGATAGCTATATTAAAAATGACAAAATTGTTACAGTCAGATAAGAATAGCATGAAAAGGTCTACTGATTATAATACAACATAAGTTTTAAGAACCAAGTAGAAAAGGCTGAAAACTATTTAGTTTGGTTTATTTTTGTTTTTGAAACAACTCTGGGCAGTTACTCATATATTATGCGTTTTCCCCTAATAATTTATAAAGTTGACTTAATCACAGCAAAACATGTTTGTCAGGTCTAATCTGGTTTCCTTCAAAGCAGGTTTTTTGTATACACCCATTGTGTACCTGTAGCAGTAGTACGCATACTAAAAAGTAAGTGTTACATTTTTGCCCCGCCACAAGGGACACTAAAATGTTGTTGAGTTTTCCTGCTACATTCTCTTGTTTCTTTTTTATGCCACGGTAATGTATGTTGAAGAAAGAAAGTACTCTTTTGAAATATACTAATTATAACGCTAACCAGGGCCCAATTGTTCGAAGGCCGATTAGTGCTTAACCCGGGGTTAAATTTAACCCTGATTTCCTTTTCTTGTGTTCAAAAGCTTTTTCTTGGATAATTTCCTCCATTATTTTTAGAGCTTCCAATCATCAACTTTTAGACAAAAATAATTAAAACTGAAATGCTTTTTAAGCTTTCAAATCTGAATTCAAATCTCGCACTAACCGTGGGTTATCTTAACCCAGCTTCAAACAACTCGGCCCAGAGGGATAACGTATGAATCTTGACTGTTCAAGTAACGGTTAGACTAGTAAGTTAGGTCCTGTAATCATAAGACATGGTTTAAAGATGTAAGTGCAAATGATTTACATTCAGTTTTATGGTTTAGTTTTTGTAACATTCATCAAATGTTCAACGTTAAAACAGCAAGATGATCATCATCATGTAGCTCACTCCTAACAATTTTTTAAAGGCAACCTTATCAAAGGAACACAGGTTTCAGATTCCCCTTGATTTCTAAAAAAAAGGAACTTTAAAGATAGAAATTCTTCTTTTTAAAATATGTTAACTTGATACTCACTTGAGGTATAAGTGATCTAAAGTTTGCATCCAGTGTTTTCACAAGAACTTAGTCCCTCCTCCAAAAGTGCAGGACCCCTGATTTCTTGACTGCTAAAATCAAGTAAAACAAACTATAAGCAGTCAGAAGAGAATGGCACAAAGAGGTTTATAACTGTAAACCTGAGAAACGTTAAGATAAAAATACAAAAATGATTTTCAGCTGATTTCATTTCATTCAATTTGTTAACCTGTTCCAGGCATTCAGATCGTGGCGATGGTGCGAATAGATGTGAGCAGAAAAAAAAAACAGCAAGGGGGTGGGGTAGGGGGTGAATGACCTTTTGAAAACTAACCTCGAGCCACCCTCCACTATCAGAATGCCTGGAACAGGCTATCAATTTGTTTTTTGTTTTCTTAGAAGTTTCTCTAGAATGAGGAGCAGCGTCATTTGATGACGAGAAGGAGTTTAAGCAAGACTTCAATAGGCATGGCAATTTTGAGTCAAGTTATATCCTCAGAACTCTTACCGCCCTTTTTAGTGATTTCTGACTGCAGATAGGGAAACATAAAGAGTAAGATTGGTAAAAGTGATAATCTGAGGCACACAAGCTCTGTTCAAAGGCTTATACTCATCTTTAATCTCGAGTCGCAGAGATATGTTATTCTAGCCCATGTATTATACTAGCCCACGTAAAAACGTCTGTGAGGAAGCACGTAGGTTCCAACAGACTCTGCCAATTACTGGAAGTGCATTTACAATTTCCCTTTAACCTGATTGGCCAATAAATCAACGGATTTTTCAACAGGCCAATCATGGTGCTGGTACACAAGGTGGTGGCCAAGAACAAGGATTTTGACCCTGTTTTGCAGACGGACTTAGCCAGAGGTTTAGTTTCATCTGTGTTGCAGGCTGGGAATTCCTAGACATTTACAAACTCAAAAAACTAACCTGTGGTATCAGAGAGTAATACATCCCCTATCTCTGCAGAGGATGATGACATCACACTCAAGTACCATGGCAGTTTAACACACTTTGTGTGCTGTAAGAAATAACGATAAATAAAAAGACTTGATAAGGTTAACATCCAAATTCATTACAAATGAAAGGCACAGGTGGGAAACTAACTTGACTCAGTAGATACCAGCTACTGTAGCATACCATCACGAATTCTGCAGTCTGACTGGCTAACAGACACATGTCTACTCTGTCAACTATCTATTTCATGATAGATATTGTGGAGTGGTGAGCAGGAATTTTTCTTGAACTATGGACTCACAGAAAACTTAAACTCATAGTCTTTACGGTTAAATAAAAAAATAGTACTGACAGCTGCAAGTTGTCTGTTTTAGGGCTGTCTGTAAGATGCTGAAAATTTCCCAAAAAGTCAGTCAAAAGTTGCCCCCAAGATGCCAAAATTTTATGTTGCTTTTCATATTTTCTATAAATTAACCTACAAAAGAACCCTTTTTCAAACCACTGTGGGTGCTGATCTCTCTAGGGGCATTTGCAAAACTCTTTGGGGTCACTCGAGCGTGTAAGTAATCTGCCATTTTGAATTCATTTACCCACCGCTGACCACTTGAATCGCCTTTTCAAATCACAGGCAAACCAATGCAGATTTGCCGCCATCAAGTTGGCGGCAAATCTTTAGAAAGCTTCTTTGATTTACATCACGGGTGGTATTTCTTAGCATAGAAATTTCTTACTATTGCGATGTCATTTAAGGATATCAAATGAGAAATACAATGTCTGAAGAAAGCTTTCCTTCTAATAAGCAACAATCGGTAGCTGCTTGAGAAAATTAAATGCTTGTTAGTCAAGCTTGCTTAAGCAGAGCGAGACTCTAAAAATGCAACCCTTTTTTTTTCATGTGCCCATGCCAAATGGTCATCATGGTCCCAGGCATTCCTGGCGGAGACCGTGGAAACTGGGGATAAGTATCTTGGTGTGACGAAAAGCCACACATGGAAAAGCTTTAATAGGAAGATTAATGCGAAAGATGTAGAGCTTGAATCGCTTGAACGCGTTGATTACTTTGGAACAAGTGAATACTTCTGATCAGTGGTCGAGAAAGAGAAGAATCTTCAATGAGCAAAACGTCGAGGGTGAGGCTATGTAAACTTTCATTGTATGACTCACCATGTTGATCATGTTTTGCCAAAAACGATTTTAATGTAAATAGCCTGAAGATTGCTTGACTGTCAATAAAAAAGTGCACAAAAAACTTATAGCAAGGAAATCCTGTTTTGTGTAGGAAGTCACATTGTTGCAAAGGCGAAGAGTTCAAAAGCAGGTGAATTTAAAATTCACCCCATTGAGGAGCTGATTTTTTATGGCAGATTAATTGATAGATTTTCACAGTTGTTACAGCGATAACCACTAACATGAGCCCTCAAAGGGGTTTTTTCTTTGGTTCAAACCTGCCTTTTGGTGGACGTCAGTCAACTGTTACCATGGTTTTTCACTCATTGGTCTAGAAAAGATTCTTTCCCCATTTCTCGAGCACTTTTTGTCTTGAAAAAATATGTCGATCTGACACCACTTCATGTCAAGATTATGAGGAATACAATGTGTGAGTGTTTGTCAAAGGAAACTCAAATTATCAACATATTTACACACTGTAAGTTACAACCACATATTACGCTTTCTCAATAAACGCTTGCAATTTGTCTGAGTTCTTGCTAGTTCTGGATTCTATTCGATAACATGAAGAATGATAAGTAGATCTGCACGTTACAAAGTTCATTTTCAAAAACAGCCTCCATTATGAGGAAACTTTTTCCCTTTTCGGTGTGATATCTTACATTTCTTTGAATTTATACTTCTTTGTAATTCGTCCATGACTTCTGCGTTTTCATACAATCAAATAAATAAACAACCTGAAAACCTTAACGTAAACTATGGAGGAAGTTTTGGCTATTTCACTTAGCTTGCAGAGACCTCAATGTAATCCTTCATCTTATGAAACAATAAAAAATGCCGTCATCATTCCAAATCATTCTTGTAAGTCTTCACTCTTCATTCAGCAATAAGGAAACCTTCTCTGTCAGAGAGCGTGAAAAACCATGGAAACAGTTGATTGACATCCACTTAAAATCAGGTTAAACAGAGAGAAAAAACCCTTCGAGGGCATGTGTTTGTGGTAACCACTGTAAGATGTGAGGTTGTGTTGCACTTTATAAATACTTGAGATATCAATGACTTAACCTTCAACTATTCATTACGTATGTGTCACGGATGTGTTTGTATGGGTAGCTATGTACTTGACTATCACGCACTCTACTTGCAGCACTTCATGTCCACAGAATGGAAAGCTGTGAAAGATGGCGAGCTTTTTCTGGAACAGGTCGGTCCACGAATTCTATTGCTTGAAGGCGTGGATTACTTTGGAACAAGTGATAACTTCAGTGGTCGAAAAAAAGAACAACTTAGCGGAGCAAAACTTCGATGGTGAAGCTAACTGGTCGGCTGTTGTAAACTTTCATTGTATGTGACGAGCATGCGGTTTATTTTCAGTGACACGAATCGTGGAAAACGATATAAAAAGTAAATATCCTGAAGAATACTCGACCATCAATAAAGCAGGAATCGAAAAACTTTTAGCGAGGAAATCCTGTTTCCTGTAGAATTAATTGCCTCCTAGATTGAGAGCAGTCTCTTATTTTTCTTTTGAGTCACAGTAGGTCAAGAGCATAATTTTACTTTTTGGCTTTCCGCAGGTAGCTCTGAGGAAAGAAGAATGACCACTTGTGGTCTAATCGCCTCCTCATTTCCAATTATCTTATCTCCAAGCAAGCAAGACTCAACGCTACTAAGAGCATTTTTGCTTGAGTTAAAAGACCACATAGTTTTCAGTACCAAACCTAAGGTTTCTGTGGAGTAGGAAAAGTGGCACTGACCTCATTATATTTTTCTTTTGTAAAACTAATTTTCATAGTCCTTACCATTCCTTGGTGAAAGGAAAATACACTTGAACCAAAGTAAATTTTGACACAAATTATGCATAACAAATTTTATATTCTTTTTTTTTCTCTTGGTGATGCAATGTTCTAGCTGGTAATTTGGCCTTAATAATTATTAAAATAGTGAATTAACTTCCATCTCTTCTTCTGGAGAGATTTGTATTTCACTGAATGTAAAGTATGTGGACCTTTCTTCAGAGGTAGGCTGACTTGCAATTCCTTTTTCTTTTCAAGCTTAACTGATCAGGCCATTCAATATATTTTAGCACCAGTTGTATAGCTTTTCATCTGCCTTTTTGTTGGCTTTTTTTAGTTTGTTTTCTTTTCACTTGGGTTTGTTCTTTGCTGGTCTAGGTCCCAAATTTAACCTGTCTAGGGATGATTTCATTTCATTATTGAATCTAAGCTGCCACTGATGGCCCCAGTATGCAATTTCCCAGTCAGAGGCACAGCTAGCTTTAATAATCTCTTACAACTTTCTTAACACTAGAAATACAAAAATCTGTGAACCTTTGGCTACCTTTTGTTTTTGGTTTTCTATTTCAAACATTAATCTCTGCAACAATTAATCATATTGCCCATATTTTACTTTCCTTGTCAAGACTGGGTGGGAGGGTTGTCAATATTTCTTTTGGTCAAGAGCGGGGGTTGTCAAAAATTGCTGTATGCTATGCAGGGGATATTAAAACATTTTGCCACTGTAAAAAATATCCTCTCCCCCCCCCCCCCCTTGCCCCCTGCAGTATACATGATGATTGCAGCCTAATCATTTTTATTATGCATACATGTTCCCATGTTTTAACTCTACTCATATAAACTATTTGTGTGATATGGTATGGGATTGCCATAATAGATGTATGGGGCTGTACGGAAATCTTACCACATTCTCAAAACGTACTGATTTTTCAGTAGTCACTTTGTACTGCACAATCATAAACTGGACATGTCATGAAAGTCTGGCGCTACTTTACATCATTAGCATACAAGAACACTGAGGAAATCGCATCATGATACATCTACATCTACATCTTCTTTATTACTCTTCCACGTTTTACACATCAAGAAGAGTTAAGAAATAAAAATATAAAGATAAATTAAAAAATTAAAATAAAATATATAATTAGGAAATTGCTATACTTAAAACAAAACTTAAAGTAATTTTGCTCTGCAAAGTGCTCTGCTGCGCCCTGCAGGTTTCACGTATTCAACAGTTCCAGTCCCTCACAGTTCTCGGACAGAAACTGTACTTATACGCTTTAGAATGTTAAATTTAGCTGTTACATGAATTAATGGCAAATCATCACCACATACCTTTGAGATATAGCTGAAAACACTTCGAAAAACAGCCATGCCTGAAGTCTACTTCCGCCATGTTGGAAATTGTGATTCACAATTTGTACCCAGGTCCTTGTGGTTACCCGCGGCTTGCTCCATTACGACTGGGAAGCAGAAGGCTTTACACCTTACCTGGAACCAACCATTGCTTGTGAAGAAATCGCAGGGTTGGTATGTCACGAACGATTTGGTGTGGTTTCAAACAAAAGACTCCGTTACTATTTGAAACCTTTTTCAGAAGTCAGAAGCACAGGTTTACGTTTTCATCACAGGCAGCCTAACCTTGGTATGAAAGTTTGGTATCATATTGCGTAATCGCGCGTAATCCTCAAAATGGCCGTGAACATACAGAATTTGTATGGGAATTGGGGTAATAACTTCAAGAATAAAACACTTCACCTTCACGACCTTCACCGAAATTTATCGGAGCAGGGATAAAATGCTTTCCGAATTGGATTTACATTTTGATAGCTTTACAATCAGAGTTGCAAGTTCTGAAACTCTGTACTGTAACCATTTTCACTTTTAAAAAATGTTTGTCAAGCAATCGGTCACTGTTACGTATCCCCCAATTCCAGATTCCAAATTCCAAATTCCAAATTTCAAATTCCAAATTCTTAGACGTTAGTACCCAGGCCAACCGCGTTATTTAGATCTACTGTCGTCAAACTGAAATTTACGTCGAATGGCTACAGGAGATACCAGACAAAACGACTGGGTTGATTACTGCTTCAAAGTCATCATTATCGGCGATTACAAGGTCGGAAAGACATCATTATTATGTAGATACACTGGGCGTGAGCCACCTAGCGATGATTGCACAATGACATTGGATTTTCGTGCGAAAACTGTCAAGAGGAAAGGAAAGCGAGTAAAGCTGCAGATCTGGGACATAGCTGGGCAAGAGAGATTTCGTACGGCTGTCGCTAGTTACTATCGCGGGGCTCTTGGAGTTCTTTTGGTGTACGATGTAACAAACAGGCAGTCTTTTCAAAATATTGGATACTGGTAAATAATATTTAGATGAAGAAAACTTCCTTAAGTATGTTTCGATCCAAAATCGTCAGCCTTTTGGTTTCGAAGGAATATGTTACGTACTAAGTAGTTCCGGAAATGATCCCTGCCGTTCGATTTAAATACCCTTGACTACTATCATGAGCCAACTAATGGAGAACTTTCTAAGTAACTGATTTCTGTTTAGCCATAACGATATTGCTTTTGTTTGTTCGTCTGCCAGTGTAGCTGGGAATATTGGTTTTCAGTTTTACTATAAACTGTACTCTTGCCAAAGAAATCTCGAGGCCTACCGTTTAGTTGTTTCAAAACTTTTAGCCCCCTTTACAAAACTGTTCTAGAATTAACCTGCCAAAATATAGGCAGCCCATTTATTTGCACTTCATTAAGTGTTTGCCCTCTGGCTAGTTTGTGTCAGTTGTGCCGTGTGTTAGTAAAGTTACGATAGACAATCGTCAGTTTTCATTGAAAGGGAAGTAAGGCCTGTTTCAAACGTCGTGCTACTGCCGTGCTAAGCTTGCTCGACTGTAGCTCGACTGCAGCACGACACTAGCACGACTTGGTTTCAGACGTCGAATTTAATTCAGTCGAGTAGAACGGCTTGTTGCCGAAAACAAAACACATAAATGAAGAAACGGTTTAGCAAACTTTTAAATGTATTCTAATGTATTTATAATTTATGAATTAAGTTCAGCATGGCAGTAGCGCGACGTTTGAAAAAAAGTCGAGCTACTGCCGTGCTACACGATAGTAGCACGAATTGGTTTCAAACGTCGCGCTACTGCCGTGCTAAAGTCGAATTTAATTCGATCAATTTAGTTCGGCACGGCAGTAGTACAAAGTTTGAAACCGGCCTTTTTAAGTATCAAGAGAAAGATGAGAAGGAACCCCTCTAGCCTGAGAATCAGGGTTCAATGGCCTTCCTAAGGGACTAGAGGAGAGGAGATTCCTCGCCCCCGCCTCCTCCTCCGCTTGTCAGTCAGTTATCATTTTAATAAGGACACACTGAAAAACATATTATGTTAAGCTGATTTATTGTTTGGTTTCCAGGCATGAAGAAATGAAAAGATTCTGCGATCCCGATGCCCAAGGAATCCTTGTAGGCAACCGATGTAAATCACACTTGAGGGATGTGCAACCCGAGGAGGGACGTCAACTGGCTGAACACCTTCAAGTTCCCTTTTGTGAAATAAGCACTGCAAAAAATATTAATATTAAGGAGTGTTTTGATGAACTAGTGGACAGTCTTCTTGATGGAATAGAAAGAATGCAGCAAATGCGAGAACTAACAACATTGGTGTTACCGGCTAGTGGAGAAGAAGTCAGATCCACGGACGCGTGTTCATGCACTTTACTGTGATAAAACAATGCAAGCTACCCACTTACTGTTGACTGTGTATATATTTTTCTATATAATGGTTAGGATATTTTGAAGAAGAGTTGGATGGTTGAACTCATGGCGATTTTCGTTTCGTTTTGTCTATCTTACGTTATCGTAACACTGGTTTGAAGATTTCGCAAATTTAAGCGTCTTCTTTGAGCAAGAAAAGGAAGAAATCAAAGAAAGCCTGTATCTTTTTATGAGGAGAGAAAATTGCGCACCCAAATTGCCACTTACCGTCGGGGCGCTTTTCCTGTTATCATATACAAAACAAATATATTTTGTTTTGTCACGCGTTTTGGGGATCAACGCTTTTCTGTTATCAACGTTCGTATACAAAACAAATATATTTTGTTTTTCATGTCTTACGAACAACGACTTTGATCATGATGATGGTGTAAAATGTAATGGTGACGATAGTACCGTTGTTGCGGTCGAACCTTTACTACTCCCTTGCGGATGGTACAACCCGGGAGGGAGGACTCCGCTCAATGAAAAAGGCGCCAGTGGGGATGACCGTCATAGTCACTTACAGGTGTAAATAACAGATTTTCGTCTCACATGAGATGTTCAGGAAAGATTTTTACGCATACCATTATCGCTTTGGGTTGTATGTAACGAATATAGAAGATAGGACAATACTACTTGCAACCTCCTGAATACAGCTAACCAAATCTCCACCCGACCCGTCTCACAAGAGTCACGAGTTTGTTTTTAACTCCCCACCCCAGCCATGAGGAAAGTCCAATTTAAGCAAGCACCCCCCCACCCCTCCATCAGAATAAGCACTCTTTGGTATGCTTATATCTGCAGTGTTCTACAGATAGTCAATTGGTGATAATGTCCATTGTATCAATCTAGTGACCCAAATAATGCGGCCACACTACTACGCTCAATAGATCAAAAAGATTATTGGTCAAATCAAGTGACATTTTTCTTTAGTTACATATTGTTGTTGCTCTTTTGAAGTTCAATCTACGCTTTTTAGTTCTACGGTGAACCGATAATGGCACTTAGATCCTTTGTAAGCCAATGTGGATGGCGTTTGAAAAGAAAGAGTCATGAGAAATTCTGTCACGCGCGCGCACTTTGCGTGTTCGCGTATAGCGAGCCCGACGCCTGCCACGCTAGGCTCGATTTTCGCCAGGCGAGGAGCCCGGCTTCATTTCCAAAACAGGGGCTGGTAATCGAGCCGACTGCCAGGCAGGCCAATACCTTGGCCAAGGCCAACACCTCTGTCAGATCTCCAACGGAAGATATTTGGCCCCCTTTACCAACCCCCATTGCAACCCAGAGCTTGAAGGCAACAGTTGTGTAATCGACGAGATGATTGCATATCAGAAATCATCAGCTTATAATGCTTAATGTTAACAGGAGATCAAATTTCAATAGAACCGTATATTTCACAGCTCTTTTGTTTTCTGGACAGGGTTTCAGTGCTAACTTTGTTGGCTTACTATTTTCCTAGCCAATCCTGTGAGGGCCTGTTACAGCTGGGAAACGAAGCACCTCAAACAATGACTAAAACCAGAAAATGTTGTAGGCTGCGTGGTAGCCTGCAATCAGGCCTTTAGAGTGCATAATCGCAGGCAACTCCGTTCCCAAGGTCCTCTTCTACTCGGCTTCCGCGGCGAGAAAGAGCCACGAGGGCCAAGGCCGAGTAGGAAAGGACCCTGGGGACGAGATTGAACCGCAGGCTGGTTATCTGGTAGAGATAGGAGGCAGGTCTGTGTGAGAGAGCAGCTCAGATACAACCTTAGACAAATTATAACTTGTAACACTTGGATAAAACAGTAAAGTTTTTATTTTTTAAATAATTCAAGTACCAATAATAATAACAATAGGTTGAATTCATAAAAACAATATCTATTTTCAGTTAAATTGCCTTTATCTTTATCACCATCATGATTCTAATTTGTACAAGTTTTGTTACAATGAATGACCCAGGCTTTTATTGAAATCACTGACAACTTTCGACTCCAGCATCACTGGAATCTGGAGAATATCGTCTACATAGAATAACTAGAAAACACCCAAACAAAGTTTCAATTCCTTTTGAGTGCGATGTTCCTAGTTCATGAAAGCTACAGATACCTCCCCCAAAGAAGTTTTTGTGGTTTATGCTCTTACCCCCGCCATCAGTAAATCCTTTTTTTACCCCTTCATTTAAGTATTTTGAATCAAGGACCCTCCCCCCTCCCCTCCCCTCCATCCAGGCTCAGAGTGACCTTCCATGGGGGATATTGTGGGGATTTCCTAGAACTACACAATGATCATAGTTCACTATGGCGTTTTACTTCTACTTAAAGCTTTTCATATTGATAGGCTTCATAAGTTCAGCAAAGAGAAGATAAGTCTTAAAGAACACCACCTTTCACTCCTCTGACAGCATACTTCTGAGCAAATAAAATAATACTCAAGCACTTGATCCTTCCAAATAATCACTGATTGCCTTTAGAATGGCTCAGGCGTAAATAGAAGTCAGCACTGTTGACAGCTGGCCTTAGCAATACTACTCGCTTGTGAACTGCTTTTTGGCATTCACACAATAAACCAAAAAAAATCTTCACAATGGAAAAGCTTTCCGGGTTTTTTACTCAATATCTCCATATCTTCGAACCTGTCACGCTCTTCCAAAGGTTTCCTTCACCAGATGACACGTGAATCAATTGATCCAGCATACACTGTAAAAGTCACCTTTGCAATAAATCAAGAAGCAATAAAAAGTGATCCTAACTATAAATCTCGGGGCATAAGCTCCAATCTTTTCTTTCTTTAGCCTCCCAGTAGCCACCTTTGTAGACATGTATAGACGAATCACTCAGTTCGTCCACAACATTCTCAAACCACACCGGCTTGTATCCTTCATAAACTTTCCCTTCTCTCTCTGCTTCAGAGGCTTCAAATTCACGTTTTCGTCTTCTCGTTCTTTGCAATTCTTCCAGTTTTTGCTTTTCTTGATTAGCTTCATCCCACTTGCAGTTCTCCATAAGTCGTTGGTCAGGCCTCCTCCGTGAGTCGGTTGGGGCAACACTGCTGTCAGGCTGATTAAGAGCAAGGGTTAACTCTGTGAAGTAATACATTTTCTCGCAGCCTGGCCTAAAAGAAATTGAGTTGGAGGTAATTAATACACTGTACATGAATTTTTTATGATGATCAAGAAGACTCAGGTAAAACGTTGACCTTCACATGCTACGAACCCAATAAAGGGAAACATGAATAAAGCGGTCACCCTTAGGGAATTGCTTAGTGACCGTTTTAATACAGGTTTGACAAACCTGAAAGTTCTTAAAAACACTAGAGATGTTGAAGGAGCAAAATCTCTATCCTCTATCTATACGTATTCCCAGCAGAGGATTGTACTAAATGGCCGGGAGGTCCAGTCCCCATCCCTATTCAAAGGGAGTTTTCTTTGTTCGATGGCAATGGCCTCCTTGACGCGGCGCTTGATGATGTAATTTTCGTCAGACAGAACTTAAGGGTTCATGTAATAGTTGTTGCAGATTTGTAAGCAGAATGTCTAGCCTTTGGTGATGTGAAAAAGGCAGCCTAGGCATACTTACACAGCTGGGTTTTTCTTCCACAGTGACACTGGAGGTAGAGTCTGGGCCTGGCTCTTGTGGGGGGTGGAGGGAGGTTGTTTCACTGCAGAGGGCGGGGACCTTGTATAGACAACTTTAGATCCATCCATCTTGTTATCCCATGTACCAGATATGACATATCTAACAACTTTGTTATGGTCCGTGACAACTCCTGTCACCTAAAATACAACGTACTCTGTTTTTATATTATTCAATACCATCACTCTTCTTTGCTCAGTGAACTGTCACAACTGATTGGTAACACAATAGTCAATAACAAAATAAATGGCAACCACTGTTCATCAGCCTTGTATATGTAGTTGTAACCTTTCATTTTCATTGCCTTTTTTAATCGTGAAAGTCACTTTGCTTTTTCGAGAAAAAAACATTTGCAACATTGCATATTTTTCATTCCAATACAAAGTAAAAAATTAATGGAATATGTTTAATTTCTATCAGTTTAACTGAACGTGTAAAATTGAAAAGGTGCACACAGCATGCACTTTGATAGCAAATGAATTTAGCATTAAGGCTACTGTTTAATATGACATCAAACAAATAAAATGATTAATTCAGATGAGTGCCAACTGCACTCATCTGATGTAAACCCAGTGGCCTTGGAACGGCGGATCAATCATGATGTACAAATAGCAAATAAATGGTTCGAAGACAATGGGATGAAAGCAAACCCTGCTAAACATCAAGGGATGGTTCTTGGCAAAACCGATTACCCTTTCTCCTTTTTAACCACAAGATGCCTGGATCTTTTTGGAATATCTCTAGACAATGAACTTAATTTCAAGGATCACATATCCTCTGTATGCAAAAAAATAAATAATCAGTTCAGTGTCTTCAAAAGATTTGGCAAACTTATCTCTTCCGAAATTATGCTTCGCCTTTATAAAGCGTTTATCTTACCCCATTTTCACTACTGTTCAATGATATGGCACTTTTGTAATTCAGAAGATTCTGTCAAACTGGACACCTTAAATAGACGTATTTTAAGATTTGTTTTAAAGGACTGGGACTCGAACTAGGATGCTCTTCTAGACAAGGCTGGTGTGTGTGGTTTAGCCAACAGGAGGATACAAAATATGATGATTTGTATATTCAAATGTCTCCATTTTGCTAAATATCCGTGCTATTTAAAACAACTGATCAAGTTAAGATCTAGTGCTTACTCCCTACGGGGTACTAATATTTTATCACTTCCTAAGCCGTCTACAACCACATAATTATGGTCTAAATTCCTTTAGCTATTCATCTGTTAAGTACTGGAATTCTCTACCTGATCACTTTAGAAAGAATGTAGATTATAGTGAATTTAAGCGCAAATTGTTAGTGCACAGTTTTAGTTAATACTACATTAATTAATATTATATTATATATGTTGTAACTTTTAAAATTAGTTAGCATCGGAGATACTAGCTATGTAAGCTACACTAAAATCCGAGGATAAATAAAGTTTATGTATGTATGTATGTATGTATGCCACCTACCTTTCTAGGAGTATCTCTTCCAAAATAATTGTAAGCATCATATTTGAGATGACAAACGTCTTTTGTTGTGTGATTTTGAATGTCCATCTCACCTGACTACAACAACAAATGCAAACATAATTCAAGATTTTGTCAAACATAACATGCAAAAATGTTGTGCTTCAAAGGATAGTATTTACAGGCTTTGCTTGTACAAAACGACACTGACAAGTTTAGATGCAATTTGAAACAACAAATTTTTTAATGCCCTTTTTAGTGGGGTAACCAATATACACAGGAGTGAATGCAGAGCGGGAGTAAATGGTAGGTAATGCTTTTCAAGCATTTTTGTCAACTTCTCAAAAATAAGGACTTTCTTAACCACCCTTTACTGTTCAAAGTCTTTTCTTGGCATCTGATTGCATTTTGTGCGACTTTTCTCTTTTCACTAATAATTAAAGTAACTATATGAAAGTTTTGACGAAGAATATCTGGCAAAATAATTCTACTTAGTCTTGATGAAACAGGACAGAGATTTCCCTACAAATTCGGTGAATTACTGTACGTTAGATCACGTTGTAGCCGTGCTGTGAAAATTTCTACGTTATTAATAAAATTATTATTTTCTGAAATTTTGTAACATTGTGTAGTTCCAAAAAATATCCATACCCCCCCCCCCCACACCGCATCAAAGCAAGTCATGAAAAAAGCACCCAGCCGACCGCAAATAAAAGATCATCAATGAAAACAATAATTTTTACTTTGAAACACCAATTAACGGTAAAATAACTGATAGCTAAGCTTGCTCATCAATCTTACTTGGAGCCCCCGGAAAAAAGACTTGTGAAGCCACCCCCATCGCCTCAGAAATTGACTCTCTTTGGACCCCCCCTCTGAGTTTCCATTACCCTTCGTGGGGTGGGGGGGTATGGATATTTTCTGGAAAATACACATTTTGCACTGCAGGTGAACACCATACTGCTTCTAGTTTTTGCCAGGTGTGTTTGCCTACGCCCCACCTGGAAATCAGCTTTTGTTGTGTGTGGCTAGCGTAGGTTGAATAAATTTGTTGAATGATTGACTGATTGATGCACCCTCTATGGTGAACACTTTCTGTACACTACACTGGTATACACGCAATTGGTTTGGTCTATAAACAGTCTATAAAGTGCAAAAGGACTTCACATTTGTAACAACTTGAAAAATGAGCTTACTGTTTTCCCAATTTCATTGATTTCATGTTAATCTACTCATGAATCGCTAATCAATATATTAGCAGCACTGGCATAAAATTTAAGTTTAAATTTTAATAAAGGTTTCTGGTCGCACCTGATCAATCCAAAGCTTTCCAACAATAATGTTGTGAACTGTAGTTGTGACTTTCTTCCATGAGTAGTGGTAGCCAGTCTTGGTAAACTTAAGATGAGCAGTGCCATGTGGTATGACCTGAAGATACTTGCCACGGAATTTGCTGGTGAGGGCGAATTCCTGCCAGAAGGTCCAGTCTTTATGTTCAACATGAAGGGCTGATGCAGGCGGATGATGGCTCACCTGTGGTCAATATTTAAGACAAAGTAATAGCACTCTCCATCACTGCACAGAATTCAACACAATTGCAGGGTTGTCAAAAGCAGCCGGCTGCTGGCAAAAATCGTTGCATTCACATTTCTTTTTGGATGACGATTTTTAAATACAAAATCCCTGGACTGGCCGCTTACTTTGACGACTCAGACCTCTACTTCAAAACTTTCTAACAACCCTGCAAGTGTACAATTATAATGTGGTAACATTCACTTCCCCCTTTGTGGTGGAAGCTAAAATTGCAGACTTAACTGTTCAGGGTCCGAAATTAACTTTTTAATGTGGGCGCCAACTGGCGAGCAAGTATAAATTATTGGTCGCCAGAGAGCAAAACTTCCCCCTTGGCACTTAACTAGCTGTTTGAAGGTATATTTACAGGAAGATTCGTTTACTTTTAAATTAAACAAATATCACAGGACAAAAAGTAAACAAATTTCAGGTTTCAATTTTAATCACGTGAAAGTTTACAATGACAAAGTTAGAAATTCTGGTCGCCAGAACAGATTTTTCGGACCCTGCTGTTAGACACTTTTCATTCAACCCAAGAGTACAGATTTTACACCCCTCCCTCTGCCCCAAAATAATGTTGTTTGCAGCAAATTTCATGCAACAACATTTTTAAGTAGGGTTAAAAAAGGTTAGTGGCTTGTTTATGGTGGAAAATGCATTTAGCATATCCAGCTAGTTTACAGGCACTACACTAAAACAATAGAGTGTTTTCACATGACGTCACGGCGGCCATATTGGTGTCCCAAAACAATGAAACGGCGGCCATGTTGGTGTCCCAGACCAATCCTCTGGGAAAACTAATGCAAACGCTTTCTTTTGTTTCAGTAAAATAATTAACAACAAAAAATAATAATCCAAATAAAATATTTTAACAGGATTAAAAACCCCAACTGGCAGGAGGCAAACATTTGGATATTTACAAGCTAGGCTGAGGATTTGAATTCAGAATGACCAAGAACAAATAAAGCAGGTGACTGGAGCAGGACTAGAAACTGGGTCCACTGGATTGGAAGTCTGTTGCACTGACCACTCGGCCATGTTATCTCCTGCCTTTGGGTGGTGGTCAACCAGCAAAAAGTATGATGAAAATTTAGTTTGGTCTAAAAGGCTTCATCTTGACTTTATGTTAAAATATATTATGTAATTTATCCACTACAAATACAGCAAGTCAACTTAAAGCAACAGCAAAGTTAATTCACCTGCTCAGCAAGGTACCGCCATCCTAAATCTTCTGTTCTGTCAAATTCAAATGTTTCACCAAGCAATGGGTTGAATGGCTTCGATGTCCTTGCAGCAGTAGTAGAGTAAGAAGATGTTGTAAATGCTGCAACATAACACATTTGCTCTGTGGAAGACTCACAAGCCGCTGCCTTGTCTAAAAGATGTGCATATTCTAACTCTTCTGTCAGTCTTTGAAGCATAGAAATGGGTTCATTAAAATTAACCTGCAAACCAGATGAGAGGGATACTTAGTATAGTGTACTGTATAAGCTCCCAATCTTACAGCTATGAATACAATTCATTAAAGTCTTCTTTTCTGCACAAACAGACTAACATGTAATATCCTTCAATGTAAGCGGTAAGCGGTAATGAACAGCAGTTACTACTGCAATATTGTTTTTTCTGTGCTTAAGCTTATGCAAGAGTGAGGCCACAAAGCAATCTTGAGTTTACTTTGACCTTAAATTTTGCAAGGAAAATGTCAGCCAGTGTGAACAAACTATCATGATAACTGAAGAAATGACAGCTGGATACAATATGGTAGCAAAATGAAAATACAATTCTGCTCTTTATGTGCATACATTAATGCTAATGTCACTAGCTTATCATTATATCCCAGCTGAACCTGCCCCCAAAAAGTCATTGAGAGCCTTGAAACTGCACATAATAGATAACTCTTTGCTTTCAATAATATTTTTCCTCATTAGAATGCTACTTTTTTTTTAATTGAGTTACAGTAATGCCAATTTTGAATATATTTTGAAAAAACAAGGCACAATAAGTAATAGAGCTCTCTCTGAAACATTTACTACAACATTATTACCCAATATTCCTTGTAGTAAGCAATCTAAAAACTGCAAATTTAACAAAGAATTATGGGATCATTAACAACTTTGCTAGCCAGAAATATTGCAGTCTCTGATTTTCCTTAAATTCTAGTTATAAAGAGTTAAATATTACACAGGCTGCTGACTAGGAACCCTGTTTTAGCTGTTGAAGGCAATCATGATTTTAGCATTTTGCCTTTTCTCTAAAAACAATATGCAACAACAACATCGGTCAGCAAAGAGTCACCTATCGGAAGAGGAAGCTATTTCACAAGGAGGGCAAATGTTATTATTACAAACACTGCTGACACTATCAGAACGTTATTTTGTACACTGCATCTCTTCATCACTTTTAGTGTATTAGTCAAAATATAGAAAAGGCAACAAATGACTAGCCAATACTCACAGGCATTGGTATTTTGGACAATTCTTTTCCTATACAGTTCTTCATAATACTCCAGAGGTTAATACTAATATCTGGTTTGTCTGGTATCTTCTTTCTGTAATACTTCGTCACAAGCTTGTCTGTTGATTGCTAAAAATGTAATTAAAAATCATTGGCATACTTCACTTGTAAAAACTGCACTTTATTTCAGTGTCAATGTATTTAGCATGAAAGTGCTAAATGGGGACACTATTTTTACCTCTCCTACTGGAGACAGGACCGCCAATTTATGTGGTCATCTGAGCCACGCAAAGGTCTCGCCACTTGCAGTAAAAAGGGTGTTCCTCCATTTTTCAGTTATTTTAAGACCCTGCGTCATGGTCCCGCCCCAGGAATCGAGCCCACGACCTTTCCCTCTGCAGTCAAGTGCTCTACCGACTGAGCTAATCCTGCGTGGTAAAAAAGCCCATATTATAGCCAAATCTGAGTTTTTTAAAACAAGACTGACAAGGCTAGACTGTTCCACTCACAGGGAACTGAAAGGTAACGGGGCCTGTCCCACTTGGCCATACAGTATGTAGAACTGGGCACATTTTGTATGCAAATATTCTTTCCGGGGAAGTCAATCACTACTCTTACTAAAACTATAACATTTTTCAAAAAAGGAAGTGTTTGTTTGCACACGTGTTACCTTGACAATGCAGCAATTTAAACAGTGTTGAATATTAACAGTTGGTTCAGTCACCCTGAAGATCACTTACTGTGATCAAAATATAAGTGGATAAAAAAGAAATGGTGCTTTGATGTCATTTGTGATTGACTTATTCTTATTTCTGGAACCAAGATTATTGATACTCACGGAAGACACTCCAAAAGAACCTTCCACTGTGAAAGGAGCTGTGACTATCTTTAAACCTGCATTTGTATCATCACTGGCAGATATTTGCGAGTCCTCTTTGCCTGTTGCACATACTACATCAGTAGTTGTTTCAGTAGCAGCAGTATCCTCACTAGCCTCTTCTTTGTTAGTGCCTAATTTACTGGCACTTTCAAGCTCCATGCTAGTGTCAGAGCTTATACTTTGTAAACTCTCGTGGCTTTTGCTAACTGCTATTGTAAAGCCCTCAGGGTGCTCTGCTATAGCATCAAAGAATTCTGCATTTTCATCATCTTCTTCTTCAACTGCTTCCTCTTCTTCATCACTGTCACGACCAAGTTCCACACCAGGCATGTCAGCCAAGTTTGCACCTGTGCTTTTGCGGCATGCCCTTTCCAGCGTGTTGTGTTGTCTTGCAAGAGCTTCAACTGTCTCTTCAAGGGTCACTCGTCGTTGACGTTCAAGCTGCAGACTCTTTTGCCACCTCTTTTCCTGTGTCTGAGCTAGTTCCAAAAATTCTGCACAAGCCTGGTGAACAAAGAGGAACATATAGTACTATTAAATTACTACTATTAACACCCCCAGATCAGCCCGGGCTAAGGAACTTCTAATGGACTACAAGAGTCCTTTTGTCATTACACAATTACCAAAAATTTTCAACTCACCATTGATCAGAAGAGTAAAATTTAATTCAACACGATAACTGACAGAAGAGGTTCATTTTTATTTCAGATGTGTTATTTCCATCTTATGTTAACCACAAAATTTTCAACCCCTTTTAGTCCTAGAGTGGATGGTGGAGTTTTGAAAGGCCATCACAACTTATGAGTCCTGACCATTCAAATGAGAGATCTTTGGCAGCACAAACAGTATTAATTTGTTTGGCTTTAGAGTCTTTAGTTTTGTCTGTTTGTGCTTTGTAATTCAGCATTTTAAAAATTGAAGTTTGATAAATTTTGTTAACCCATGTTCAGTCCCAATAGTGACGTTTTGAAACGATTCTTTTGTCAAATGCAGTGTTTTCCCAACCAAAAAATCTGCGAGGGATACAGAGACAGTATCAAAGAGGCTAGCAAGACTTTAATTTTTTCCATACATTGTCAAGAAAGAGTTCAAAAAGTTGAGATGGAATATGAAAAATGATCATATAATTACTAAACGTCTAAAGAAAAAATGCCTTGAAATGTTTTATTTTAAATTCTTAGTGATGTCCACTAAATCTTTGCAAAAGAATCAGAAACAGTATGGAGTTCAGTTTGGTAAGGAATTTGTATGTAAGGATACTGAGGTTAAATTAAATAAAAAGGGTTGTTTTGCTTTCAACTGACCATAGAAAATGCAAACAAACATCTTTTGAGACTTAAAAACAAACAGTATTAATTTGTTTGGCCTTGGCGCCACCATCGAAAGTACTGCAGTGAATCAAAGATTCTTTAGTTTTGTCTGCTTGTGCTTTGTAATTCAGCATTTTAAAAATTGAAGTTTGATAAATTTTGTTAAATTTTTCCTTAAGCCACTTTAGGGGATAAAAATGTTAATCTGAAAAGTTGGAAAAGGAGAAATCAGGCAAGAAACAATACAAGTGTCATGGCTTACTCACACTGATCATGGCATTTGCAGTTATCCGAAAAAGAGTGGCTTTCTCATTCACCAGTTTAAGCTTAGTGAACAGAGTAGAATTATCTTCCACTTCCTGAAGTTCAACAACTGCTCGCTGCAACGCAGAGCCATGTTTTCCTACAAGATCATTGCAAGTCTGAAGGTCATCAAGCTTTGTATTCAGTGGCTTGATGTCCTCAGCCTGGTCATTGTTAGATTCTTCTTCCTCATCTAAAAAATTTTAAAAATCAAATTAGATGGCTGAAATCAAACACTCTCCACTCTTTCCAAAATGTTGCCAAACTTAAATGATAATAAAGTTCCAACTTTTTCCGTGAGCAGCATACTTATCAAACTCGTAGTGCATTATTAGATCATCTAGTTATTAAATCTTTTCGTGCAAACCTAAGGAGATTTTCACCAAGTACAAGTGGTAAATATTTTTGGAACAACATTGCTTCTCTTCGAAAAAAAGAATTTAAATGTGCACTGACAAGTTATTATGCTTCTCAGTACTAATATTATATATATGTCTGTTCTGCTGTCTTAAGTATATATCTATACTGTATTTTTCTTTGTCATAATATACAATTTTACTAAGAGGCAGAATATTAGTCTACCTAGATGTACCCCTCTCCAACTTAGCATTATTTCATTCTCCGTAATTAATAGTGTTTGTAATTAATGCTAAGTGGAGAAAAATAAAATTCAAATAAATTAAAGGATTTTTGCATAAGAGGTAGTGTTCGCTCTATTTAAGGTTTACAATTTTGAAGATTGCACTCACAGAAGAGTGCTTAACGATTGTCAGATCTGGGTAGCCATGTCACCCCTGTTTCAAAGAGAATTCCACTCCTCAGAATTACTTAGGTAGATCAGTCTATTCCTGATTAGTAAAATCCAACTAGTGGTCTATTATCAATGCTGCGTTCTAATTGGTTGAGTTACTAGTAGGCTATATGTTATAGGCTGCCCACTAGTAGCGAAAAGTGCCGGCTTTGAAAACCAAAACAATGGCGGCTGAATCGCGTTTTGCTAGCTAAAGTTGTTTTGTCTTGACATTTTTAACCAACTAGTTGGATTTTACTAAAACAATTATTCCTCTCACCCCTATGGCCTCTGAGTCAATAGTCCATGAGGCGAAAGGCCGAATGTGCTATTGACTCAGAGCCCATTTGGGCTCGAGGAATAACTGTTAAATAGCATGCATGGGTTTAGGAGAAATTTTGTGGAAAAACTAGAATTAATTTTATAAATATTTTCAAAATAACTTGTCTGCATGGCTAATTCAGCGCCCTTAATCAACTTACTGACATTTTAATTTAGTGATACATAAAGTTATCTTAACAAGAAAGACCACCAGCTGGGATTGAGGCAGTAGCACTAAGCATTTGGCTTTGCATATGCACAATCAGTCTACAACAGTTGTCATTTTGATATCAGGTGCTCTCAAGTTTGGGACCAATCAGCCTTTATGTCTGAGTGAATGTGTGACACATTTGCATATCAAAGTGCCCACAATACTTGTTTCTACACTATGCACATCCTTAAGTAATAAAAGCTAAAAACCGGCAAAAGGTATGTAACAGACCCAGTGGATATTGCTATCCACTGGATAAATCACTATCCAGCGGATAAGTATTAGAGACATCAACTGCACTATTCATGAATAACCTTATCCATCTTTTGAACAACTGGTCTCAGAAAATAAAACAAATGCAACCAACCAATTTTAGGTAGTACATGGGCATCAGTCTATATAAATACAAAAAGCAAAAAAACAGTGTACTCAAAATTTTGAAATAACAAAAAAAAAGACAACTTAACAAAATGAGTATTAAAGCAAGTTGGTGCTTTAAGTCACATACCAAAAATAACCATCTGAGCATAACTAGTACAAAACATTTTCTCACAAAAGTGATTGCTGTCAAAGAGTACTGTCCAAGAAATAACTTATTTTTATATCATTTTTTTCACTGAGTGGGTACAACTAAGACTAAGGAAAAAGCTTTGTGATATACAGACATGGAAAGTTGCCACAGAGGCTGAGCTGAGGTGATTATCTTGGCTTAACTCTGACAAAAAATAATAAATAATTGTGCAATTTAAGGTATAAATTTACCTAAAATGCCTCTTTTATGGTACAACATGCAATCTGGTCCAAGGTGTTCTCTCTCATTGTTACTGTGTGCAATTGCACAGTTACTTTTCTGGGATTTCCGTTTTGACAATCTCCACAAAAACATCACAAGTAACAAAAATAAAATGATACATGTAATAATAATTCATCCCATGTTGCACTCAGAAGAATCCATTGATACACATTGGTTTTTTTCCCATCTAGCAAAATTTTAAATCCAATACACATCCAACTTCTGGATGACATGAACAAGTGGGCTGGGAAGTTTATACAGACAAGAGACATGACTTAAGGATCTACAAATATCTACCGAAAATGGCTGCAATCCACTACATATACAAGATTTATATTTGCATTAATTTGCATGTTTTCCCCCAAATAGAGATTCAACAACAGAAAATAAAGGGGGATAAATAAACAAACAGGCAGTTTAAAAATATTATTATTAACAAGAAACTACACTTAAAGTAGGATTTAGTTGCAAAAAAAGTAAACAAATGTAGCATTGGTGTGAATCAAGTTAACTATTCAACAGGCACCTGCTAAGACAGACTGGCCACCACAGATAGAATACATGAACCACTACAAGATGATTCTTACACTAAGTAAACAGCCATAACAAGGAGTTTAGGAACAACGTATCCATTATTTATATACTTTGCAGAAAAAGCAACCTACCTTCTCTTGCTATGTCCATTATTTAGAAAGACAGCAGGAAGATAAAAAAAACAACAATATCAAAACTTGCTAGTGTTATTTGAGGTCAAAATGTTTTCTTTTCCATTTATATAGTCACCAGTTTTGAGATTTACAGTGATATCATAAAAATGGCAGTGGCCTCAGAAGTGCAAAAGTCATCTTATAATACAGGAACCAAACAGCCATAGCATTTTGTTCAGGTTTACAATGTTGGATGGTTGATGACTTCTCAAAAACTACTTCTTTGTTAGCCACATCTGCAGTAAACCATTTCAGATGTTTGTGTACCCGGCCTGCTGGTAAGAAAACCACATCTCTGCCACAAACCAGCCTGGACTTTGCCAACTGAATTAATGGCTGTCCTCAATTTACTCTGCTAAGACCTATGCAAATTACCTGAGACATGTGTATTGTAAACAAGTATTAAAATATTAGACCTGCCTTGAATTTTATATCATTTGGTATCCTGGTTACTCCCTTAATACTCCAAGAATTTTAGTACAGACTTCTTAAATCTAGAATAGATTTCACTTCAAGCAGGGAGACAGGTCTCCTTCATAATATTTCTGGTACCAGCAAGGAATACATCACACAAAAAAACACATTTAAGTGGTGTCCTTCTCTATGATTGGATGACCAAAAGCCAAGAACTGAATTTGGTTGCTAAGGAACAGCTTCTACCATCAACATTTCAGATTTTCTGAGGTGATGAGTTAGGAATCTACACAGAAGCTTGAGGATTGACAGCATAATAATTTTTTTTTCATCTTAAAAAAGATCTTCACAATACTGGTATTCTAAATAATTTATTTAAGACCAAAATAAAAATCTCTCTGAAACAGGGCTCCAAATGAGACCTACGAAGAAAAGTTAGAAAATGATTAAAGCATTGTAAACCTCTAAAAAGTGGTGATCTGAGTTTTTGAGACCATACTTAAAATAATTCAAGTTTCTTGTCTCAAAATTATCTCAAATGAATTTAATGGTCTTAGAAAATCTTTCCGGATCAAAATCATGATTTTTCCCCCGCATTTTGCCTCTGGAACTGTTTATAGGTTGCTTTGGTATGTTTTTAAAGTTGCGATGCATGCAAAAAGCAAGAGGTTTCAAATTACACGTGACCTATGCAAATTTTACTTGCATCTACATAGATCAACAATGTTTTCTATCTTGGTATGGACGATACAGTCGGAGATTTCTTATATTATTTATTCATTATTCTATGCTTTTCTATTTTTTGTTGTACGTTTCGTGGTAATTTTTGATAGGCTCACAAAAACATTACAGTTTTTGAGAAAGATTCACGGCAACTATTTCAGATCATACTACAGTATTTCAATCTCTTCAGACCGTCACACGCGACGAATGTAAATACATACCTTCATACGTTATGCAACAAAAATAAAAACATTTTTTATAGTTCAAAAGATAGACTTTATACAAAAATACAGAGTAAATTTTCCAAAATTCAAGATAAAAAAACCTTTTGTTGTTCCTTTTTTATCGCCTAGAAACTTTGACTTAACTTTGCTAAATTGTACATGTGAACACTGTCGGTCAGTGCGAGCTACTGAACATGTGAACGGTTATGTAATTTTTCCCGAGAAATAGATAGTTTTCTTGAAATCCTTTTGAGTGATGAATATTCAAAAATGCTGGTTTCACGAAACTCGGGACTCGAATTTCAATTGACGTGATTTATTGAAGACATGTGCATAGAGTTCCTTACAGCAAAGGAGATAGAGACGCTGTCGATAACGTAATCCTGGTAAACTATTAAATTAAAACTAAGGATAGGTACCCTGGCTCCAGAGGTCCATTCTCCAAATACAATTAGGTAAAAAAACCTCTAGCACCTTAAGCGAGGTTGACAAAAAGACATTTACAAACAGTAAAAAAGGAGATTGGCCCTTGCTTTTCAGATGAACCTTAACTATGCTACTATCAGGGGCACCCAACAATGGTTTCCAGCCTTAATAAACTGAAAACACTTTTTAGGATATCCAGAGGTAAGGTAAAAGGTAAAGGCGCACACGAGCCAAAGGCCCAAAAAGCCAGAGCTTATCCCGGTTTCATTAGCATGATGCATGCCTAGGGGTATTGCTACTCCCCCCTGGACAGGATGCTGGTCCATCAAAGGGTTACCCCCCATCAGTATGTCGCCGCTACCTATTTATAAAACTGGGTGAAGAAGACAAAGTGGAGTAAAGTTCCTTGTCTAAGGAAACAATGTGACGGGAGAGGCTTGAACCCCGGATCTCCAGATCCAGAGTTTGAGGTGTTAACCATTCGGCCACACACGCCTCCACAAGGAGGCATGGAGGCTATCCAGAGTACTTTTAGATCTCTAGAAATGCATTCTAAGCGGCACTATAAAACTTGTATCTGTTCAGTCATCCTAGGAGAATTTGAGTCTTTTCAAAATTACAAGGGCTTCAGGATTATTTTCTCAAAAAAACTTAGATGCAATCAATGTATTACAAAAGTCAGAATTTTTCTGAGCCCTCTTTCCATCACATTTTTGACACTGAAAATTTTAGGTTTCCTTTTTTCTACGAAAAATAGCCTAACCAGGAGGAGTGAAATGTGAAAAATTAAACTTCAGAAAATCGAAGGGAATTTATTAGATAAGCTTTGAATACATGAACATGAATGGAATGGTCATCTAGAAATTTTTAGCCATCCTCAAGCAATAGAAAATTCTAGGCAATATTTGCTTCTCCGAACAGATATTTACAGAAAACAGTCGTTGGGTGACTCTGTACTATCTATACCCTAGTAATCTGAAGTTTGTCAATCAGTGGGCTCCTAGAAATGTGGCTCAAGCTCAAAACTTTTTATTTTTGGAGCCCAAAGGGCTCCCACAAATTTTCTTAGGCAGAAGCCTTTAGAGCCTGTCCAAATTCAGCGATGATTGATTGATTTGTCGAAAACTGTAAAACCTGTTCGTTTCCTAGCGCTCTGTGGCTCACATATAGTCAAGTTTCTCACACATGATTGGTTTGTTCGTTAGACCACAAACACAAAGGGAAAGGAATGTGGTTTGATTCTCAGCAACCGTTTGTGGGGAAGAGCGTTGCATGACAACACTAAAAACGTCTGTGTGGCAGACTAATCAGAAGGTAGGATTAAATGATCAAAACCTTTGCTTGCTTCCTTGCAGCTGTTTTATGCACCTGAGTCTTCCTCGTTATGCTTACATTAATATTTTTTGTAAACACTATCAAAGTCATATGTGCTGCATACACCTAAAATAATCTCTTCAAACTCTGTCACTTTACAGTGTTATGAAATTTCTCCTATCATATGATTTAGATTAATTTAGGTGTGATGCAATATAGCAACTTGCATAATTGGTAAGTGAATGTACGTGTCCCTCAATTCAATTTTATTCACACTTTTATCAAATAACAAGGTTTATTCAACTATTTTTCAACGTGACAATTCAAATAGACCGCCTTGAAAAAAATGTATCACGCATGAAAAGGTAAGGTATGCAACTCGTAATCACAGCCAATTATATCCGCGCAAAGAATTCTCAGCGGTTGAAGAGAACCTTACTTGTGTAAAAGCACATGGAAAGCTAATAATCCACACAGAAATAAACCCATCAAAATCAAAAATGCTATAAATCAAAATTAGCTTACACGTTTAAGATCAATCTATTGCCCATGATTGCTACTGTAACAGATCTTTCTTATTTTTAGCTAATTTGCATTTTGCTACCGTAAAGGATAAGCTTAAAGTCGATAAGCCTGAGTGTTACAAGTGATACACGAACACCTTTATCGTTATAAAATACCCAACATATAATCACACCTGATTCCAGCAGTTTGATGGCCTTCGCTTTGGCTAGCTCCAACGCTGTAACCCATCTTTGCCGTTCAACTTCAGAGTTTGCTCTCATGTAAAAGATTTGTGTTCCCCCATTAGAAATGACGAAATTACACGAATCTTCCGCGTCGATGAAAGCGCCCGCAAGGTTTATTGTCCCTCGACAAGTATGAGCCATCTCGGCCTGGCTTCTGAAATACAAAAGAAAAGTTCCTCCTTCACAAAGAACAGAAACTCCCACAATATTGACAAGCTCGTCCGCCATTTTGAATTTCCGGCAATAACACGTCTAAAAATCCATACCTGTAGTACGACAGAAGCCCATTTGAGAGAACAAACCATCTCTTCTGATACCCTTTGATGTAATTTGTCCACTTTAACAGCCATCCTCTAAAATGGTCGGCGCAAACTTGTCCGTCCGGCATAGTCACATTTTCCGACGGAATATCCACAAAAGCGAAATCCTCATCAGTGGAACGAGACATGATCACGTGACAAGATGGTACAGCAAGTCTGACACGAATGATCGGAGATCTTTGTGAAAAGAAAGTGAAAGAAATCTAACTACCTGCACATAAAAGATTCACTATAATAAAGCTTTCCTGCCCAGACTAATTATCATTTGGAGTTAATGTTAGGTCAGCAAAGACCAGGAACCATGACATCACGCCACATTGCGTAACCCACGTTCTAATGCCGCTGGTCATAATAGACTCCTTGTACCTTGTATCTTCCTCTATCTCCCCCCGGCAAAGTCCTAACAATCCCTCTGCCCTTAAAATTATGCAAAAGGTCCCAACTAAATTATCTAGAAACAAATGTATATGGCAACATTACACATGTGATTGGATAATTGCTTGTTTTGAAAATATGTCAAAGCACGGTCCAACAGTACAAATACTGTGTAAATCATCATTGTCTCAGCGTTTTTCAAATTGTCTGGATGCTCTGAAAAAATTCTCTCAAAAGAAAAACCATTTCAACATGCCTGGAATTAACGGGATTTTGAAAATTTTTCACTTACCCTGAGTGCAGATGTCTAAATTCGATGGAACCATGATCAACCCGAAGTAAACTTTCAGCCCGGCAAGTTCTGTCACTCTTGCAGGAACAGACTATACCCATGAATAACGCAGCTGAACATTGCTTCTGAGAACTCGGCTACGGCTTAAATATTGCCTTCACTGGCATCTTTTCTCTGGGGGTAAGTGGTTGAAAAATTGTTTGTAACGCTTAAAAATCAAAATAAGGTGACGTACTGAAGCACGACAAGAGCTATGCGTGTATTATGTTTACCCCAAAAGGTACAAACAACGACAACACTGCGTAATAAAGATTTGTTGATGACCTGGGGTTAAGGGGGCGTCTTAAGTACGAGAATATTAAATTCACAAGTATTCTATTCCGGAAATGTCACGCGATGAATTTTTCTTTAAATGTCACACCTTACAGACCTTACAAGAAGCCCAAAAAAAGTCTTAAAAATGTAACAACGGAAACTACAAAGAAGCTCAAGGGGGTGGTTAACTCTTGTTTTCTTCGTCAACAGGACTTTTGTCTCCAGAGTTCTTCTGTTTGAGCACTGGGGTCGAGAAAAGAACCAGTCATATGTAGAAAGGTTTACTCCTGGGGGGTTTACCCGAACTGGAATGCGCCAGAATACTTCCAAGCGCTTGCTACGCAGGCTACAGCCGTCGGCTTACACCCACCCCGCCCCGAGGCTCGCTAAAGAATTTTAAAATTCTCAAACAACTCTCTGAGATTATGAGAGGTTTTTTCATCGCGGCGTTGCATTCCACAATTGTCTAATTGGAGAAAGTGATTTTAACTTTAATTTTGATAAAAATCAAGCATGTTCATTCATGTATGAGTTGACTCCCGATAACTCGAACCCTCACTAACTCGATTTCCCCTGGATTTCCTTCTTACATTTACTGTAATTTTACCCTCGGTAACTCAAACCCTCGATAACTCGAACCTCCCGCTAACTCGAAGTAATTTTTGTTTCCCTTCTACAACCCTTCAGCTCATTTCTATACAATTTTACCCTCGATAATTCAAACCATGTTATAAGCAGTATAAGCGCGTGACAGGTCGGAAAAAAACCGTGTACTGAAGTCCGAAACATTGAATTTATTTCAACCGAGTAAATTCTTTGTCTTTCCTTTTTGTTCACTCCAGTTCAAATTCAGTGTCCTTTAACCTTCCATTTGCTTATCTCCTTACTTCCGGTTATTTGCTTCAAACTCCCGATATTCCCGATAACTCGAACTTTATTGGATTTCCCTTGAAGGTTCAACTTATCGGGAGTCGACTGTATATCTTCCTTTTTTTTTCTTTGTTTCATTTACTAGTTTTTTCCTTTTTGTGTGTGTTTGTTTTTTGTGTAGCTGCGTGTCGTGTGTGTACCTGACCCTTGAAAATCATTTATTAATAACCTAAGTAAGGCTACCCTTCTTTTTAGCCCTCGATGGTTATTATGGGCACCCGGTAATCACTCTATATTTAATAGCATTTTTTATATAATGTAAATCAATGTGGAGTCCCCCCGACAAAATAAAGTTGTTGTCGTTGTTGTTGCTGCAATTGTTGTTTAGACGTTCCAACGATCTTCGACAGCATCTTCCTCGAGCTAACTGTCATGCGCATGTAGCCTGCGTCGCAAATACTCTAAATCCTCTGTATATCCATAGAGGACTAACGCAAATGGTCTAGACGATGCGTAAGCCGGCTGCATGCAACGCACGCTGACTAGTAAACAAAAATTTTTTTAGCAATTAATTCATTATTCAATTCTTAGTTAATTTATGGGGCTCCACTGAAAACCTTCATGTCATTAGTATCATCATCATCATCATCATCATCATCATCGTCGTCGTCATCGTCATCGTCATCGTAAACCCCACCGAAATCATGTTCATCATCATCATCATCTCTCCACCGCAGAAGATCATCTGGGTGTCATCATCATCATCGTCTAAACCCCAAACAATGTGATTGAGAGAAATCACTCCACGAGGTTCTAATAGCCCGGGGGCACTCAACAAATTTTTATACGGGAGCCCAGAGATCCAATCATGATATGGTTTTCGTGCCTTGATGACAAATGGTTCTTTCCTCCACGTTTAGACCTTTGGATCCTTTCAACTGCAGGCATTGTCATTTAAATAGGAAATACAAAAAGAGCCGACTTTTTATAAAATTATAGTCTTTAGACCAAAAAACCCTTTGATTCAAAAGAAACCCCTGCCCTTTCAACTCCTAAAGCCGAAAAAGGCATTCTTACCCGTATAGGCCATTATAGGGAGTACCCCACCGTGGGGGAGAGCAGATTTTAAAGGACGAAGCTTGAAGACAGGAGGCAGGAGAGGGAAGAACTGTGCAATGTCTCCCATTTTCTGTCACCCTTTTTCGCTCTTCGCTCAACTTGAATGTCAGTTCATCTGCATTTTGATTAAATAATCCCGGAAACAATGCATGATCAAATTATCTGCAAGCGACTAGCTGAAGAAAGATCTAGAGGTCCTTCATCTGTATTTTGAGCAAATAACATGTGACCAAATTAATCCTGGAATTATCTGAACGCGACCTGCTGAAGATTATCCAGTCTTTAAAACCTAAACGGAGGAATTATTTTTCATAAAACAGAAAAAAAAAATCGCCCATCCGCAAAATTAAGCAAGGTATTACTGACAGTCAGTATAAAGGCTGGTTTCTATTAGCCTGTACCACAGACGAAACTAAACTCAACTCGGAGTAAAATAACGTGTGTGACTCAGGCTAGTTTCTGCGTAATCGTCACCCGATCGTCTTAAACATGCCAAATCAAGAATCGAGCCACACAAGACGATTAGGGAGAAGACCATGCGAAAACTAAGCTTGAATGAACTACGACAGAACGACAACTATGACCAAAAGGAAGGGTCAAGGGCGTACTTCCAAAGATCACCCGGAAAGATCAATTGCATTTTGAGTCAAGAGATCAACAACAATAACATGCCAGGAATGATCAAATGTATTCCAAAACGGAAATGTGAACGCTTTACGAACCACATGAAGTATGTGATTTAGAACTCTACTCAAAGACTTAAAAAGGGAGAGCGATCAATCTCATTAACCCTTTCACTTGATTGATTGAGTCTTGAAAGGTCTTTCTAACTTTTGAGCGTGAAGACGAAATCCTGTAGTTTGATCATTCGAAATGGTAAAGCCTACCAACTTCTTGATTGATTGAACCCCATTTGCTTTTTACCTTTTTTTGAAACGAAAATTTTGTGACCATTCAAATGAAACCTCTTTTATTAGCACTACTTCCACATAACCCCATTTGCTTTTCGCTATTTTACAAGAAAATTTGGACTTTTTTGTCTAATATTGACCTTGGCCACTTCTGGGAGTGAAAGGAGGATTTAAAAACAGACTTAGTTTCTCTTTAATCTTTTGTTTTACGTAATTTGATGATTACACCCGTCCACAATACCAAGAAACTACCAATTCATTGATTTTATTTTACCCTGAGTGTCGTATCGACCCTTCAAACTTCCTTACATCAGTCAAAGCGTATATTTTCAAAACCTTTTCTTCGTGCATTTCTTATAATTCTACTGCCAAAAATTTCTCTTCCCGCCCTTTTAAAAAGAACTAAGATAGATGTAAATATAAGGGCGCAAAAAGGAGAAAATGCAGAGTAAATTTCCCCAGCCTCTTTCAATGATTAAAACTCGAGGAAATCACGTTAAGCCGCTGCCAGGCGAGGGTAAATTCACTACGCGTATTCACGCGTTCTTGGTTTTCTTCTAACAACTTGAGTGCCTTGAGTGCTTGTGGACTTTCCAGCATCACAAGCAACAGAAGCCAAAAGCTAATATCCGTGATAAAAACCTATAAGTTCATTCATTCTTGCACTTTAATGACCCCTAGTGATGCCATGTACTTGTTCGGGTTATCCCGGGAAAAAACAGACAGACTGATCCACAGGGTGCCGAGGAGTTATTTGTAATCTTGTCTCGAAAGGATATTTTAGCTCAGTACCGGGGAATGTTTCGTTTAAGGATCGTCAGCGTTGTTCTTTGCTTTGATTTCATCCTCGAGTTCTTTAAGCAGAAGTTCAGCGTTTTTGTTCGTCTTTGCTGCCTCTCTGTACAGTTCTCTTGATTTTTCCCAGTCTTTGTCGACTCCGTATCCCCAATAATACATATTACCAAGATTGATCTAAAAACGAAAAAAAAAAAAAAAGAAAAGAAAAGAAATATTACACCGTTGGCGTGTTCTAAAGCACAAAACTAAGGGAGGAGCTTTCATAACCTCAACACAGTTTCAAGCTGAAGCCCGGCTGTTTTCACTAAGAAACTGAGCTCTAACTTTATCACTGAAATACCAGGGTCTGTTGAGTTTGGAAAAAGAGATTATACAAGCTCATAGATAAATTATCATTCAGAAATCTCTCCCAGGCCTTAAGACTGTGTGAAACTGGGAGAAAAAGTATAACGAGCAGAAAAAAAGAGAAATATGGATTTTCCAAAATCAACATTATCGTCGAAGTTCACTTGCCTTATTAAAATATTTACGAGAGGAGCAGTTTATTTTTACGACAAGAAGACGATCGATGGCTGTTTTAATGCCATAGTTAGATAGCTATGCACTTGACTAATTGTTACAAACAAATTGAGAAACACTGAATGCAACAGTTGATTATGCTAACAACAAAAACCATGAATTGGCTACTTAAAATGGTTTGACTTGAAAAATACTTATAAGTTTCCTTAAAGCGTATAGGGTAGCAGAATATGCTCGAAAGACTGAGTTGGTGCAAGCACATTCTTTCTTGGTTAGTGATGGCTCATATGCCCGCTTCTCTTGTTGTTAGATACATATGTTGACCATATGGAGCCATGGCCATGGCCTCTCATCTTTCATTTTCTTTCCCATTTTCATTTTCTTTTTTTTCTTTCTTTTCGTGCCAGTCTTCTCTCAGCTTTTATATTCGGTGGCAACTCAGTTCATATCGTACCCATCACCAGTTGGCATGTGAACATGCCCCTTCCCCCTCATAACGGATGCACACAGGCCAATTTTCAGTATCTCCACCGGCGCCCGGTCGATACAAGTTAAATCATCGCACCTGCGCATGTACGTGTCCACGGTGAGCGGCAAGATCAAAGTAATAAGCCGCCTTCTTGAAGTCATGCTCAACACCAAGGCCAGCGAAGTAGTTAACTCCGATGTTATACTGTGCTGTTAGGTAACCTGATGAGCAAAATCAGTGAAAATTAAGAAAATAATAAATTTGAAATTAATTTGAAATTAAGATATCCCAATGGAATGACTGGGAGATTCCATCTCTGTCCTATTATGATTTCTTGCCAAAATACAGTGAGGAATCGTGATACGTTAACGGGAAACGAGATCAGCCAAAATTTGGGCGCGGAATGCGGGATTGGATATCCGGGATAGCAATGACAGAAGTTCGGGATGCGGGATTGTCGTGACAAAAAGAGCAGAAATGCGGGGTCAGGACTTCCCTTTCCAAGACTTTCCAACTCTAAAAGGGTATCCTGATCTTCTCTTTAGCCTGCGTGGCGGGCGCAAAAAGAGAAGGGGAGGGGGAGAGGGAGAAAAGTACCAAAGGGAAACGGTAGGGGGAGTCCCTTACCTTCTCCCCCTAGCCCCCCTCCCTTTTTTCCTCCCTTCCGTCCCCTACCCCTTTCGACGCCTGCGACACAGGCTACTCCTTATCAGCCCAATTAACGACAGCAAAAAGTTTTCTGTCGCTGATTAACTTATGAGAAGTCTCAGGTCTTGTGTAATACCTTGGTCAGCTGCTGCTTTGTAATACTTGAAGGATTTTTCATAATCCTGTTTCACTCCTGTACCTCGACTGTAAAAAGCACCAAGAGACATCAGAGCTGAAATGTCACCTGGAAGACCAGTAAGGCAAAAAAGATAAGAGTTAGAAGAGTCAGTACAATAGTGAGTGGCCAGAAAAAGTTGAAAACTATACATTTTGCAAATCTAAAGAGTTTCCAGTCTGTCCGATGATCTTCAAACAGAATACATGTCAGAAAATAAACTGGTGCAAAACACTTATACATTCAGGATGAATAAAGGCTGGTTAACAACCTGCGATCTATTCATCCGATTTGCTTTGGAAGCGATTAATAAAGAAAAAGTAGTCCGGGACAAAAAATTGTCCGTGATGGCAGTTAAGGCTAAAAGATAGCTGGATAAGTTGTGGTGATTATGCTAGCAATTCGATTGTTCCTCAGTATGCAAACGAGTATGCTGCAAACAGCACCATTTGAGGAGTAGGGAATAAATAATTCTAGACTTCGCAGGATGGCCTTATCCGTTTTATTCCGTGATAATGAACGCTACCATTTTTAAAAGTGATACAAGTTAAATGTCAAGCCCCATCTAGCGGTATACTGAAAAACAAAATCACATGATGTGAAAGTTCAGCCAAAGAGTCAAGTCAGTATTAATTTTAGAGGCCTTCAGCTTCTCTGACTTTTTCAGGTTTGCAGGGCCTACGGTACCTTTTTTAGAATTCTAAGATTTAAGATGTTGTGTCCTGTCTCAAGAGATTTAACAAACAGATACCATAAACTACCATTTATAAGCAACCCCCTGGTTATAGGCCCATTTACCTGTAAACAAAAAAATACATCTGATTGTAAGCCACACAGGATATAACCCCCCTCTAGGATCCTCTAGCTTGTATTGAAATGGGATCAATTTAGGTTTCAGGGAAACTGCTCACCTACCCCTCCGCTAAGCTAACATTAACACTTACTTCTCGCTTAAGGCAAAATGATGGCTTAGGGGAGGGGTAGGTGGGCAGTTTCTCAGAAACTTAAACTGATCCTTGAAATGAATCAAAAACCAATCAATGAAGAATGTATTTGATCTGCACTGCCACTGCTTGTTTTGAAGCACTTTTTTTTTAAATTCTGGTGATAGGCCTCTCGGATATAAGCCCCTTCTTTTTATAAGCCCTCCTAAAACCTCTTATAAAAGACATATAAGCCCATGGCTTATAAGCGATAAGCAGCAGTTTACAGTATCATAACAAAACATGTACTGTACCTTTCTCAGCAGCTTTTGTAAAGTACTCAGCTGCCTTTGTAAGATCCACTTTTCCTGCTTCACCAGTGGTGTACATATTTCCTTTAAAAAACAACAGGAAACAAGGATGTGACTTCACTTAATGCGTCCTGCGACTAAACCAAATTTTCTTATGTCTAGAAGAAGTCTATTGATAGGTTACAACTAATTTTAATTCACCAAATTTCACATATTTTAATTTTCAATGATGAAGTTATTTTTTGGGTTGCAGGCAGGCTTGGTCACCGAAAACCAGCTTAAGTTCAACCTCCATGTATGACCACCTCTGGTAAGTGGTAACCTCTAATAGGTGACTAACAATCCAAAACATCAAAATTTTCACAGTCAAATTATTTAATATCAAGAGCGCTAATTTTTCACTTTACACATGAATAGACAGTAACCAAAATGATAGGCAAGTTGACATCAACATGAATAACTAAGTATTAGGGTTTTAACTAATACTTAACTTTAGAGCTACTTGATTGGCCTACAAGCAAGCACTCTTGACTCCCCACATAATACAAGAAAGCCTTCTCACAGTCTGCAAACTGATTTCACTGTTCTTCTGTTAGTGTTTGGGGGGTCATTTTCTCCTGTATGTAGTCCTTTCACTTCTGGACCACTTTTTAACCAGATTATTAAAATTTTGTTACTTTACTTTTAAATCTGTGGATGAAAACCTAAGATGTTGCCATTCAAATGAAACCTCTTTGGATAAACTTTTGCACAGTACTATTTATCTACTAGCTTTAATAAAAAGAAATTTAAATTTTTTGTGAATCTTTTCTTTGGCCACAATTAGGATCGACAAGGTTAAGGAACAAGTTAGATCATAAAGTTGAAAAGAAAGAGCTACTTTTATAGGTGTGGTAACTTATCTTTACCACAGTTTCCTTACCTACCAATCATTGTATTAGCTTCACTAACACCATTCTCTGCACTGACCTAAAAAAAAACTACATGGTTAATATGTCTTGACATACATTTCTTCCTTAATTTATTAAATCTGAATACAAGCCTCCATGTGCCACCACCTCTATTAAGCAACCACCTTCCATAAGTAAACAACCTACTGGCATCTAAAATACCAAAGTTTTTCAAGCCCAAAGCCCTATAGTCATGCACTCAAAATTCGTCTTTAGTAATATGTTTTAGGCAAAATCTATTATGATATTCTTCAAATATATTGATAATAAGCCTTTTGCTTCAACGATATCATAAAACAAACCCTTGTTAAATAATCATCGTATGAGCCAAATCAGGGCAGCTGCATTTAACTGAATCCAATGGGTAGTAAATTAACACTTGCCCTGTAGCTTGAACTATAAAATTATAGGGTTGCATGGCACTTAGCTCATTCTAGGCACCCAAGTAGACACTCAAGTAAATTTTAGTAAATTAGAACTCTTCTTGCAATACCTCATATAAGCCTAGTGCCACCTTCAAGTCCTGTGTCATTCCGATACCATTGTGATATAATTGTGCGAGGGAAAACTGAAAGAAAAGTGAAAATGTTGGCAAGAGTCTAAACTGTTGTAGGGATGGCAGCAGAGCTGGAGGTCGTACAATTCCAATGGCTAAACCAACAACCAAGGACTTAAAATCACAGAAGAATATGATACTGCCTTTGCCCTGCAAATGGATGTAGTCCTTAGCTTCCTGAAGTTGGCTTTTTTATGACCATATATTTGACAAAATGATGGTCTCCTTTGCAGCAGGGCATGTAAAAACTGTTTTTAATAATGGCACATCGTGCTAAATACACTTCCATCTAACACTTAAATAAAATACTTTCAAACCATGTTGTTAGTAATGACAAGGTACCTGTATGCTAGATTCTGACAAATTTGTCCTTTACCTGGGCAAATGGGTGCCCCTGTTCTGACAGCTCTGAGAACATTTTTGCAGCTTCAAGAGGGTCTACTTCCACTCCACCCTCCCCTGCAGGGGTGAAAATTAATAATCAGGTTAAAAAGAATGTACTGGTAATGTGAAATCCTTAAATAAGTAAACATAAACTGTTTGTTTTGACACAATAACGCATTGTTTCTTTCATATAGCCAGGAATTACCAATTTTGGTATCATGCAAGAAGTGATCAACTACCTTTAAATCACTATAAAGGGTTTAGTTTTATCTTTTGTCTACAATATTTTCACTTTGATATCGATCACGACATTTCAACCGCACACTGCAGATCTTCATCAGGTGATAATGTCGATTTACTGAGCAGAACTATTTGTATCACCGTGGTTGTTAGTGATTGGTGTATCACAAACCTCGCTCATAGCTCCTCCTAGAAAAAGGTCTCTCCGTCAAAAATAGCTCAGTCCTAATATAAAGTTAATTGAGTCACGTTTGACTAGGGTTTATCTATGAAGTTAAAGGTGCTTTCCAAAAGTCAGAACTACCTCGCTATACTGGTCATTTTGAAATTGAAATACAGTAAAAACCTGCAACTGACAACCTGCATTTTCCCAAGTTAGCCAAAATACATGTACAGTGTAGGTTCTTAGGTTCTTACTGAGATGGTACTTAGCACAGTTTAGGCTATTTAGATTCTTAAATAGGTTCTTATTTTCTGAGAAAAAATACATTGTAGCTAAGAGCATTTAGTGATATTCAGCTTATTCCTTATATAATTACATTAATTACATTACATTGCAGTTGGAGTGACAAGGCACCTGTCTCCAAAGAGGATCCTGAATGTTGACTTATTTGCCCAATTGTTCAGAATTGTTTGAATAGATCATAGAGAATAAAAACCTGTTTCAAATTGTAGGCTAAACAGGTTCTTATAAAGAGGAGCCCTGACTGGCAAATTTTAGCCTGACAGGTTCTTAAAACCCAGACCCCAGTTGTTCAAACATTGGACAGCACTATCCATCAGATAAATCACTATCCAGTGGGTAAGTATTAGGAAAACTGATTTCTCTATCCACTGGACAGAGATTTGTCCACTGGATAGCATTATCCACCCTTTGAACAACTGGGCCCTGGTTCTTGGTCACTGGTTTTTACTATGTTAGTCTTCTCTCAATTTTTTAATAAAACCCATTACTGCTGTGCACACTATTAATAGACTGATCTTGCTGAATAGTCCTGGTTAATAGTTGTGGTAAGTGCCCTAAGATTGAATTGAATGAGTAATGACTGTGAATTGGACTCTTCATCATATCCTTTGAATACACCCACATGTTTTAACCAATTCCCCACCAACTCTTATACATGTACCTGACCTGATTCAAGCAGTTTGCCATAGCTGTACATTCCATCTGTATCACCAGCCATTGCTGCAAATCTAAATAATGGTGCAGACAATTCAACTGCAGCTTTTCCAACTAGAAAGGTCAAGAAAACTTTTTAGTTGAGATTTGAACTTGAGTGGCAGTAAAGAGTGATCACAGTTAACAAATTAAATGTGGTTGTTTGAATTTGTGGCCTACACAATGTGCAAAGAAACTAACATTCAAATCCTATTGGAGAAACTAATCCATTGAAATGTCATGTTGTGAGATTAAAACAATCAATTGTGCACTGTCATGTTGTTTCTAACATAAAACTGCAACACCTTTGTTTTGTCTTTTAAGTTTGCTGCCTTAATCTTCTCCACCATACTATTACTTTGATTACCATAACTGATTGATAAGGTGCCCCTACTCGAATAAGGGCCGTTCTCGAATAAGCACTGCGGCACTAATTTGGGTAGTTGCAAATTAACTCCCCACAGCACCTTTGTTATGGAGCTTCATATAAAGAGATATCAAAACCATAACACTTAAGAAATAAGACCTCAACCAACTCATGAGTTCTAAAGTTGGAAACTCTTGAAAGTAGGTTCATATAAGAGTTCAAGGT